TGCTGCTGGAAACCAAAGGTTTAAGCCCATCTGCTTGGGGGGTTATTGCTTACACCAAGGGCCTGAGCAAGGGGTGAGGTGAAGCCGGGGTCCGGGGGGGCTCAGCACCGGTACACACAGAGAGAGGGAATCGCTTTCAGAGGCTGGTTTATTCCTGCTCACCACCGAGTTCTAGAAACAGTATAAAAATAAGTCTATATAAAAGCATGTTCTTCACTCCTCCTCAGTGCAGTGGCAGAGAACAGGCTCCAGTGGGGGGGGATCAGGTGTGGACCCCCCCAAAACAACAAAAAACCACCCCAGAACCTCTTCAGAACAAGCCACGGGATCAGCTTTTCCCCCAGGATTAAGCTCTTTCACCCATTCCGGGGGTAGGAGCATGGCCAGAGCCTCTTTCTTCCCCCTCCTGTGACCCTTCCCCACATCCATTCACATCAGCCAGGATGTTTTGTGGGTGCCTTTTCCTCATGGGACCCTGCGGCCTCGGGGATGGAAGACAGGAACAACCTGAGCTGGGAATTCCCAGGAGCTTTCCAAACCTGCGGCTGGGACACGCTCACAGCCTGGTCCGTGCCCCAGGGACTAGAAAAGGAGGAGAAAAGGGGCTGGAGGGAACGGAAGCACCAGGTATTGGGAATGAGCTGGAGAAATGCCAGCGCTCGGGACTTTGTGTCACTGAGTTTGGGGAAGAGGGGGATAAATCAACGTAACAGATGCTTTCCAGAGGGAATAAGAGAGTTGGGGGCACACGAAACTCCCACAAAAGCCTTTTCCTTCCAAGGGAACTTCTCTCTGGAGTCAACTCAGCAACACACTCACTGGGAGATGCTCATTTATCACTGAGTCCCCTTGGAAACAACCCTTGAAGGCCAAAGGAAGGTTTGTCCCAAGTCCTCCTTTAAGCCACAGGAGGAAGAGAGAAGGGACTGGCCAGGAACAGAAGCAACAGCTTCCAGGTTGGTTCCTTCTAAACCACCCCAACCCCTTAAGACTACTCATGTAAAGATACAAGATCCTCGAGTTGAGTGTTTTTAAACCAAAGCACCAACATCTGGTACAAATGCAACAAGTTTCAAGTATAAAAAGAAAGAATCCAAACCATCCAGAAGGCGTTTGTTTGCCTTTGATCTGGTACCACGGCACAGGATCAGCCTTCAAATTAAACCTGGGGAGCCTGGAGAACTAAAGTGTTTTCACTCTCAGGAGCAGCAGAACCAAAGCTCCTGAACAGTGAATGGGGCAGGTTAAGTAAATCCAATGATTTGCTGTCTACAAGGAGCAATTAACTCCTCTTTTTACCACGTTAAATTGCGAGAGGGGCTTCTGAAGGACATGATTTGGGCCCGGCTCGATGGGCGGCAGAGGAGAAAGGGGACACTTTTGAACACATGGCAATCCTGAGGTGACAAACCCACCGTCCCCGGCCAGGCCAGGCCTGCTCACTGCTTTGCTGCCTGTCTGCCTGGCTTCTTCTCCTGCTGGCCTCTTCCACTGCCTGGGATGCCTCGGCCACGGCCACCAAACACACCTACGGGGCAGAAAGAGAGAGCAGGGGTGTAAGAGTGTGGCTGCTCAGAGTTCACTTATCCCCGTGCTCCCCTCTCTTCCAGCCTGAGGAACAGGACTTTTGTTCTCCTCAGTTCCAGATCCTGTGTTCACAAGGTGCATCAATGGACCCCCCCCTCCCCAGCTGTACCTCCCCACTGTGTTCCCTGCCCTAGAGCTCACCCCCCGTGGAACTAACTCCTGAAAAATGGATCCATGGAAGCAAGAGTGTTTTAAAGGCAGGGGGATGAGCGGGTTCGACGCCTGGCCCCTGCAGGCTGAAACAAGCAGGGGGTGACTGGGTTTGGCTGCAGGGGAGACCTGGGGCAGGCACCAGAGCTCCTCTAGAGCCCTCTGCTCCCTCCGTGCTCCCCTCAACCAGAGGCAGGGGATGACTCCAACCCTGCAGTGCTCGGGATGCTGAGAGGACGGAGGATTCCCAGTGTCAGGAACAATGATCCTTTCAAGTGCAATTACAGCTTCTCTCCCGACCAAATTGTCCTGCCTTTATTTTTTCCCCCCTTCCCCTCCTCCTCCCTTCGTGTCTCACTAATGGGAGCCAAAGCTTTGAGCTAATTAGCAAATACCAAAGCTTCCCTTTAACAGATTCCAGCAGCACAGTGAGGCTGCACATCAAACCAGCCGGGCTCTGCCCCGCTCTCCCCAAGGTGGGTATTCCCAGAGGAGGGAAATCAACGCAGCTGAACTGCTTGTCCAAATAACCACATCCAAAGCGCTGTTCTGCCAAGTGCTCCGGCCGCCAAGAAGGGAAGGAGGGAACAAGAAAGGTGCCTTCAGCGTGGTAAAGGTCACTTCTGTGTGCTGGGAGCAGCACCGGGCTCCAGGGCTTCCCCTCCCCAAGGCCCTGGGAGCTGGAGCCGCGGCACGTCCCGGGATGGCCCCAGGTAGAGCCCAGCTTCCCACCAGGATTCTCTGCATAGTCAAAACGAAGGTGGCTTCTTAAGGGTGCTCGGCAGAGACCTCAGTCATGGCTCAGGCCTCAGGGCTCCCTCTGAACACCAGCATCTCCCAGTGGTGCTGGAGCACGGGAGCACTCTCGGGACCTGCAGCTCCTGCCACAGGCTAAACCTGCACCAGGAGTGACCCCAGGGCTGAGCGAGGTGACCACAGAGCGAGTGGCAAAGCCGTGGCAGGAGGGGTGGGCAGACAAGGAGAGGAACAGCTCTCGGGCTTCCAGCAGGGCAAGTCGGGAAGCAAAGAGCAACCTCTCCCCAAGGGGAAGGGCTCCGAGCTCAGCTCACCCCGTGCAGTGGGACGGGGAAGGAAGAGCTGCTTTTGTGACCTATTTCTTCCCAGTGGCCACCTCCCCTTTGCTCAGCAGCACGAATTCCTCATGGGGAGCAGGAGAAGCACAACCCCTCGGACATAAAATAAATCAATCAAGGCAGGAGACCAGGAGCCCCATTCCAAAGGAAGATGATGGGGTTTTATCAGTGCCATGGTCAGAGCCCAGTCTGTTTCCAACCAGAGCAGCCACTCGTTCCCTCCCTAAGCTCAGAGACACCAGTTTTGTAGAGCCACGCTCCCAAACTAGCCAGGAGGGGTAGAAACAGTCAAGTTCAGACTCTCTTAAGCTCCTGCCCAACCCCGAGAAGGAGGGAGGCACATCCCTGGCACGAATCCTGCCTATTCTTTGGCAGAAGCTGCCTCACAGACGAGGCAACACACATGAACTGGACGAGATCCTGCACTGGAGCCACTCCAGCTTCTCCCAGCCCCGCAGCCGGGAAGCAGGAGCCATTCCTTGCCCTGAAACCCAAGGAGGAGCATTACCTCGTCCAGCACCTCCAACGCCACGGCCCTTCTGTTGCTTCTGCTGTTGCATCCCACCACGGCCTCTGCCCTTGGACACCACCTCTTCTTTCACCATGTCAATGATTTCATCGGGGATCCGCAGGTATTTGATGGTGCTGCCACGAATGTAGCACTCTGGCATTCTCCAGAACTTGTCTCCATCCTATTGGGGAGCAACACAGTGGGTCACAAACAAAACCTGGTGCTTTTCTGTCTACTTCTGGGGCATTTTGAGGGTTTCCATCACATCTGGAGCATGTGACAGCTCCAGAGACCTTTCCTGAGAGCATTATCTGCAATCAGGAGCACAAAAGGGTGGGTTTTTCCTTCCCTCCAAGCTGGGGAGGGCACGGAGCCACGAGCAACTGCCCTTTCAATGCGCTGCCTCTAACCCTTGGTGCAAGCGAAGGAAGATGAGGCTGAGGAAACAAGCACCTTCCCTTCTAAAAGAGAATCCAAAGTGGGGCTGGAGAGGCCAAAGTGGGGAGTTCCAACAGCTCGGGTAAGAGCAACAGAGCAAAGGCAGGGCCGGGTTCGTTCTCCAGCAGCCCCAGCTGGGAGTCCCCTCCCTGCAGCACTGCTCCGGCTGGGATGGAGCAGGAGGCAGCTCTGGAGCAGGGGGCTCTGGGCCACCAGAGCAGGGCAACTGCAGCTGCGGAAACAAGGAGCTGCCGGGTTGGTTTGAGAGAAAAGAGTCTTTGGGTGCCCGGTCACGGAGCTGGGATCTCCCCATGGTGGTTGTGCAACAGCTCCAGGGCTTTCCTAGGACACAACCTACGAGGGCTGCAGCTCCTGCACCCCGGGAGCGGCTCTGGGAATGGAAAGGGAGCTGAACAACAACTCTGCTGCCCATGATGTCAGTGGAGGAGGGGCAGGGTCTGGCTGCACAGGGGA